TAGCCACTGTTAGCCTCTGTCGGGCACCGTCAGCCTCTGTTGGGCACCGCTAGCCACTGTTAGCCTCTGTCGGGCACAGTCAGCCACTGTCGAGCACTGCTAGCCACTGTTAGCCTCTGTCGGGCATCGTCAGTCTCTGTTAGGCAACATTAGTGAAACTTTCTTTGAAGTGGATGCAACTTTCTCGGACTCGAACACTAAGTAAATGAACTCTCACATGATGTGAGAATAAAATCAAACTGTTAATGAGAAGAACAGACATGAAAAGTGTTAGCTTATAACCAGCTGTTGTTGTTGTTTAACCAGTGCTCGTCAGGCTTGTCTAATCTGCTGGTAAAAAGTAATTAGGACAACATCAGGAATAAATGAGCATGTTTATGCACTTTTCATGTGTTACCTATTAATTATACGTTTAACAGAAGGTGAGTTTATTTTTCATGAGAATCAGGAAGAGAGGATTAAATACCAATAATACAAATATGAGTTTTTGTAGCAAATAACCTGAAATAATCACTCACTGTATTTTTAATGTTCCTGTGTGGTTTGGATTAACTGCTATGCAAACAGTCAGTGAGAGCTTCCTGCAGAAATCAGGCTCCATTAAACAAACTTTTCATTACCCTGATAACTTTTTCTGCCAGTGTGAAGCTGCTTTGTCCAGCACTGCTGATTAAAATCACTCCTCTAATTAAGAGGCTACTCGACTCGTTTGTAAAGCAGCTTTAATGATGAAGCTTGCAGCTCTCCACCTGCCTGCACCCTCTCCGGTCTGTCTGATAGCAGTCCAAGAACTCCTCGATCTCTGATGCTGAAACCTCTCCAACGAGCTCATGAATAAACCGCTAACGGGCTGCCAAGGCCAGCGGAGGGTTCGTCGACAGCGGTATTCCTGCCTCCGTTTCTCCGAGTGCCGCTCATTGATGTGTTAATGACAGAACAGCTGTGTCTGTCCAGGAAGCTTCGACTCCTCCGCTTCCTTTTGTTCTCTGTTTGATTTGTTTTGTCACGTCTGAGTTTGGAAGGCAGTTCAAACGTCTACGCACACAAAAACAGCACCGGGTGAAACTTCTATAATTATATTGCTAGTTGCTCTATACAGAAAATGGCTGAAAGCAAAGGTGTCATTTGGCAGAGGTCAGCTGACCACTTTGTTGTGGCATCACTGAGAAGCGGGTGCGCATTTTAACCGAGACCATGACGAGCTCCGCCTAAACCCTGACCAAAAGTAGAAAGTGGGCGGGGGAAAAGGTGATGCCAATTGCTAAACACAAAGGTTCAAATCCGGGGTGAAAATGTGTCATCTGTGGTTTGGGTGCAGCGGCTTATGTCACGCTGAAACTCACCTTGTGTTTAAACGGCAAACATCGCTGGAGCTTGACTTGTAAGCACAGGCCTGCAGACACAGAAGAAGCTCATCAGACACTGACCAAGAGCAACGTTAGCAGCAGATTAGACGAGTGTGTGTCAGAGTTTACTGATGAGGAAAACAGGAACATCAAACATGAGAAGAAGCACGTGCCATAAAAACTAAGGCACTGTGTGTGTGTGAGCATGCATGTATGAATGAATGTGTCTGTCTCTGTATACATGACTTCCTGCCACACAATATATGCTTACAACTGTTTAACCACATTTCCTGGTTATCCAAAGGTCATCTCCCCACACCTGTATACAGCTTAACTTTAATGGTTCACCATATACAAGCATAGGGGAGCCCCCAAATGGCCGGGGCTGAACATCCTTCACAAGATAAGGAAATCTGTAGTTGTGCCTGTAGTTAAACATTACGGCCCCCCCACCATTCAACAGGCCGGGGAGGAGAACAAAAGAATATCTAAACATGCCGTTTAAGAAAAGGTTTACAAACTGAAGCACAACAGTGACAACATTTAACAACAATAAACACATCGTGAGAGCAGCCTCCCATTCAAAAAGAACCAACTTCTGCCATTAGCTGCTAAATTAATCGTAGTCCCACAGTGATGTCTTCAGCTGCCACAGCATATGTCAGGTTTTATATAGTCTGTCTTGAAGTAGATTCACTCTGTCGCTCCGACAGTTTGATAGAAATAGGAAAAGGAGCTGGAGCGGGCCGATAAAACATCCTGGACCCCCCACAGCTGTGT